CCCCCAAACTTTGTCGCGCTCCTTCAGCCCCAGCCCAGCGGCCCTTGCACCTACCCAGAATTGGCCGGGCTTTTCCCGATCTCTCCTTGTCGTTTAAAGGGAGCTGGCTAAAATCCCCTGGTTTTCCATGCTGACAGTCCTCCTGCAAACGCTCTGTTGCTCTTGTAATGAGATCCGGATTTTTTTTCCCTTTTTTTTTTCCTTCTTCTTTTTTTCCCCCCCTTGGTGTGTGTGTGTGTGTGTGTGTGTGTGTGAGAGAGAGAGAGAGAGAGAGAGAGAGAGAGAGAGAGAGCGAGAGCAGGAAGTTGGAGCAGTCAGACAGAGAGCCGGCTCACTTCCTTTCCTGCATTATTCCCCAGGCGGTTTGCAGTCTGTGTAAACAGGCTTTTCCTCCCCTCTCCCCTCTCTCTGGCCACTGATGTGCAGCATTGCTGTAATATAAGACACACACATAGTAAAATGGTAACGGTAACTCTGTGGGCGCACACACACACACACACACACAGCTCCAGCAGGTCCCTCTGACCTCCACCTCTTCCTGTTCTACACCCCCGGGGAGGAGCTATAACCCAGCTCAGCAAACTTGGCCCATCAACCGCTGCTACTAAAAGCATAAAGAGGGCTTTGCAAAATAAGTGGCTTTTCTCAAAAGAATGGCTCTGAGATGACAAAGATGAGCCATTTGTGTCTTAGGTCCTATTTGCTAAGCACCCACCATGGGCTCGCTGCTCTACAAGAGGTTGGAGGAGTCGCACCCCTTGTCCCAAGCAGTTTGTAGTGGGTGCAGCCAAATATTGAACACGTTCAGCGTCAGGGTTGCCAACTCTCCAGGACTGCCCTGGGGTCACGGGAAACACCATGATCCCCGCAGTGAGTTTCCCAGGGACAGGGTATAACCACTTTTCTGACATGGGTTAGTACCTGGGCAGAGATAATGTATAGTTACCAGGGCCGTCCTAAGGAGGAAGAAATCAGGGTGACTGCCCCAGGCCCCTCGCTTTGGGGGGCCCACAGACAATACTGTACAGGCCCCACTGTGGCTGTCACGTGCTGCCGGCTCCATGCTCCAGCCACTTGCCACCCCCCACCTTGTGCTGTGCTCCGGCCACTCACCACCCCCGCCCCCAACTCCCTGCTCTGGCCGCTTGATCCTCCCCTACCCCCATGCCGCACTCTGGCTGCTCACCACCCACCGGCCCCACATAGGTTGATATGCCCCAGGCCCCGCACACCCCTAGGGATGGCTCTGATAGTTATCCTCCCATTTTTATTTCCATTGGAAAGATCCTGGCTTTACACCCACTTTATGAAACTGGGAGACTCATCCCTAGCTTGCTCCTGCGGCCATATGGCTGAGGGCAAGTGAAACCCGGGGGCATCCGAACCCCAAGCCTCTGGGCTTGGGCCTGCACATAGGATGCCCACCAAAGGATTTGAAAATATCTGAAGCCCCAGGTGGGGGTGGAGGATGTTTGCTAGTAGTAGGGCCATATTTGGTTCTTGAATGATTCACGGATTTGGAATTGATTTGGCTGATTTGGCTTGAAATGCAAAAAAAATTTCCATAGAAATAAAAATAGATATAAATCTCCAGGAGACTGCTGAGAGTCACCCAGGAGATAAATGCTACAGCATTCATTAAAATAAATGAATTTTATGAAATTCATTTATTATGAATAAATAATAATTATTGTAATGTAATATCAATTACATGTTGAATCTGACTTAAACAGCAGTCCAGTGGGTTTTTTAAATGTAATAGTAATGTGCATTTGCCTTCCTGGAGTAAAGTCTACGCACCATAATCCGTAATTGATATATGTTGCAGACGCATTGGCATCCCAGAAACCTCCCGGAATAGTTTCAGAGTTGGCAACCCTACTCAGCTTCCAGGGAGGATGGGGGGCATTCAGCACCCTGCAGAATAGGCTGTCTGCTTTTCAGAGACAGGCACTACAAGCTACAATAGCAACATTTAGTATTGAAAACAAATGGAAAACACATACACACAGACCTCATAAACTGAGGTGCACTGAAGTTGTAGTATCTGGATCCAATATCCCAGGTCTGAGTTTATCTATAGTTTTGGTTTGGTCTATAAATAAAAACAGGCCATTTTTAAAATTCAGACCTGGGTTCAGATTTTGAACAGCGTTGGGGATAGAAATGCAAGGTTTTGATTCAGACTCCTCTCTCTTAAAAATCATAAGATTCTACTGTTTGCCATTTATGCTGTCTTTCTGTGTATCAAATGTAGCAGCTATGCTGCTTCTGGTTTGATTGAACCTACAAGCACATCAAGGACGCTCAAAAGTAATAATTATATATTGAAGCATTACTTTGTTGTTACTTTTTTAAAGTAACACAATTTATCATTCAGAGCAAGTGGAATTTAAAAATGTTCATACTATGAAAGAACACGTAAGTTATGATTATCTTCGCTAATTTTAGCTGCAGTTAAAATGTTTTGATGAAAAAAATAGGGAAATCGTCACAGTTGCCACTGAGCATATGTCATTAGCACCTTGACTGTTGACAATAGGCATTTATTGTGGGTCTCTCTTATGAAGACCAGATAGATGTTTCACATTATGGTTCCCAATTATCTGTCAAATAGCAACATCGGGTAAAGTGAAATTATTTCATAGACTATATACATAACATTGTTTGTTTTAAAGAAACCTGTTTCAGGATTCATACTGAATTTTAGAATACATATTTGGAATCCACTAAGACCTCATGAATTTGGAGATAAATAAAAATGTTGGTACAACTTTTAAAAAGTTACAGATTCTGGATAAAATATGCATTGGACACAACCTTTTTTTAAAAAAAACATTACAGTAGATCTTTAGGACACAGAAGTCAATCTCCATTTTGCTAGTACAAGTGTGCAAGAGAGGGCTTGGGAGAGAGACAGACGTGTAGTCAAGGCACCATTATCATTAAGATGGTTAGCTAGCTGCAACTTGAGGTGCTGGCATAATTTTTCCTGGACTTACAATATATTTAACCAATGTCTTTTAAGAGCTGGAACATGGACACACCAAGACTGCCCAGAGCTGTTTCCAATCCTTGGTGAAGAGACAGAAGGGGAGCATGTTCTTTCAAAACAAGTATTACTTCTCCAAAACAAGCAAGTGCCTTCTTTTCTCTTTCAACAGGTATATAATGTTCTGCTCCTAAAAAGATTTGTTTTCAAATAAAGTATATTTCTTTTATAAAGTGTGCTATAGAAGTGCCATATTAACAGCAGTGGAAACTGAAGTCCTGTGCTCATCCAAAGAAAAGCCTAGGAAGCTTATACAAAGGCTCCATGATGAGAGAAAGATGTGCCTAGACAGCGTATGTGGCATTTTTAAAGGTAAGCTGTAAACAGTGAAGAAGAAAGTGTAGGGCTTAATTTGTTTACTGGAGAAAGGCAACTATGATTTGTTGGAACCATACGGATTTGGGGAAGTTCTGTTGGTAGCTGAAAAACTCTGAGGTTTTGGGTGGGGTCAGTTACAAATAACAGGGCTGTTAGTTGACAAAAAGTAGAAATATCTTTTTGAAACATTTTGTGTGTGCTCTCTGTGTACTCACTGTACTGTATGGGACAGTGGTTAAAAGGAACACCTTCCTTTTAACCACTGCATGTATGGATGATTGTGCTAAGTCCCATGGGTACCTTAAGAAAAAAAAAAACATGGCAAGGAGAGAAAAATGTAAGTGAGCATGCTATAGGAGACTTTGTCTTGTATAAAAAGTCGGCTATAGGAAAATAGTTTGTTAGCATAGACATTATGAGCACTAGTGATGAATTAGTGTATTCTGCTGGTGAGATATATTACATGTCTTCATATGTACCATTCCACTGTAAAGCCTGACTGTTCTCTTCAATCTGTAAAGACTCATTCTCTGTTTTGGAAGTCTGTGGTTCAGTGCTAAAGGTTGGTTTAGCTGCTGTGCATCTCAGAAAGAAATAAAGTGGAATGAACCAGTGTCTAGCTCCATAGCAGCAATGTAAGGTACGCTACTGTCAAAAGGAACTCCAAAGCTGGTGAGGCGGTGTGAATCCACAAAAGGTCATATACACCGAAGAAATTCCTATTTATCTAAGAGCCATAAAACCTATGCAAACAGCCCTTCTACCATGAGAGGTTGTCCCAAACAGTCCCTAAAGGGTGTGTCCACACATGTAAGCACATGCACTTGCAGCAGCTCAAATAGAAGCATTGCAAATTTGAGCCAGAGCTTTTTGCCTTGGTGCACGTGCTCAGACATGTACTTAGTTGTGGAGCAAATTGTGCCACTTGAGGCAAAATAACCTTGCCTGGCTCCTCCCGGATCTGCAGCCAGGGGGAGCTAGAGCCCGGGGCCAGCACCTGTGCTGTCCCCAGAAGTATAAAAAGCTGCCCTGTCCTGGCCCCATCCATACAAAAAGCTGCCCTGGCAAGCAGCTCAGGGCTATTCGCTCTCAAGAGCTTCTGGGGCTGGCCACTTCGTACCTGGGGACACTACCCCTTGTGTCAGCTGGACTGCTGTAGCAGCATTCCAAATCCATTTTTAAAAATACCCCAGAATCCATGCTTTTCCACAATTAAAACAAAAGACCACTCTATACGCACACACACACATATATATCGAGAGAGAGTGAGAGAGAGAGAGAGAGAGAGAGAGCGATCAGTTGGGCAATAAGGTGTTGGTATATTTACAAAGTTAAAGCAATGTGGAAGCCTACCAGTGTCTCTATCATCATGATAAAATAAATTCTAAAAACCTATATGTATTGATGTGTACTTTTGGTATTCTTTGCACATGATGGGTGTGTGATGGGGGGATGTGGTATTTGCAGGAAGGTGGTGGGAAGGTGTGTGGGTGTGTGTGGAGGGATGTGGGTTGGTGTGTGCGTAGGTGTGGAGCAATTGCTGGGGGGACTATGGGTGTGGGGGACCTTGTGGGGGGGCTGCTCAGGAGGGGTCGGTCCCCTGGCCCCCACAGGGTGCAGCCCCCCCAACACAGCACATGGAATACTCCCCC